TATAAAACTTCGCTTTTTTTGAGTACCACAATGACCTTCTTTTGACCTACTTTTTTTCTTCAAAATATTAGGGTACCGGTAATTTTCCCAATAAAGTTGCACCCTTTAAATCTATCACAATCAATCTCATATTTGATAGTATCAATATTAATAATTATGAGCAATGTTTAGAGCCTGTAACAAGAAAAAAAAAATTTATGAAACACCCTTATATATATATATATATATATATATATATATATATATATATATATATATATATATATATATATATATATATATATATATATATATATATATATATATATATATATATATATATATATATCAGTCCTTGGAATTAGGAAAAACAAGATCGGCAAAAATTTGTTGATTTTTTTGGTTGTTTATTTAAAAGATTGATTATGTAAACAAACAAAAAAGTCCTTAATGTCATGTACTAAAACTTTTAGGAATAAAACGCGCTTGATTCTGCCAATATTCAATTATTAATTAGGTATGAGACATTCATTTTCATAATAGTTTTTTAGCACTTAGTTTCAACTCTATCATTTGCTTATCAGCTACAACTAATATTTACCAATTTAGAAAAAAATCATGTTTCAAACTTTGATAAAGGTAGAATAATTCAAATGCACAATGCAAATTAATTTTTGCGTAACATTTCCAAAGAAGTTGGATGTGGTAAATCTCAAAGAATTGTGTCCAGATTTTTTTCTCAAAATTTAATTAGCAGAAAGTCATGGTCTGGAAGAGAGCTAAAAACTAAAGAAAGAGAAGATCTTTTGATTGTGAGGAAAGTGATAAAGAACTGTAGGATATTGGTGAATCAGATTAAGCAAAATTTAAACCCTGAATACTTATGTAACAATACCTCAAATATTTATGTAACAATAGAATTGCTGCAAGAATAAAGGTAAATAAAGAGCTTACAATAGGGTAGCAAACAAAAAAAACTCTTTATAAATGAGAAAACTTTTTTTAAAGAGACCACTTATACTGGACTTAAGATCAATGAAAACGTGTCCTATGGACAGATGAGTTTGTGATGGACAGATGACCTTTTGTGCTGCAAGAACAGAAATAGAATAATTTTTTTTTAATTAAAATATTTTTTTATGTTTTTTATGGTTTTAATGTTTGCAATAATCACTGATTTTAATGTTTGCAATAATTACTGGTTTAATATTTGCAGTAGAATGCTACTGCTATTAAAACTAGTTTCAATAAACAAAAACCTTTACAAAAAATAATTAACTATTCAAAATGTTTATGATTTAAATAAAACTTTCTTCCTCACTTGCACTATCTTCTAAACGTGATATTGTTACTGTAGTTATTATAGATCTATGTTTGATTTTCAGTAAAGATCCTTGCTATGTCACTGTGTATTACGGACATTGCTACAATTAAATTTATAATTATTATCAGTGAGTGTTAAAATTCTTTTATATTTCAAATTTCTTTTTTTTAAATATCGAATTTCAATTTCAAGATTATTAGAATAAGAGAATTTTAATCTTCAAAAATTATCTTCCAAATTTCTCTTGTTCAAATAGATAATGCTTTTGTAAAAAAATAATTTGTAAAAAACTACTTACATATTTATAGAAAATGTTTAAACTTTACATCACTTTAAATAAAATAAAAACATTAAAAAAAAAGTATTGCATTTTTTATATTCTATTTAAGATTTCTTTTTAAATTATTTTTAGTTAAAAGCTTATAATGTTAACAACATATAAGATATAAATAGAAACATTTGTATAGCTAACTTTTGAGAGTCTTTGAGTATATTAAGTAAACTTAACGGATTAGTAACTTAACTCGTTGTTTTGATTTAGTTGATAGGTAAATTTACGGAGATGTACGGAGATGCAAGAGAGCAAACTATCATTCTTCTTTTTAAAAAATTTAGTGTGACGTATGACCCCTATCAAAAAAATTTTGACAACAAAATTTTATATTTTAAAGAATGGCCAAAAAAAATGTTAAACTAGAAAGAAAAAAAACAAAAAAAAAAAACAAAAACAAAAAAAAAAAACGCAAAAATATTTTTTCTAAAAAAAATCTAATCACTAATCACTAAAAAACCATTTGCAAATGGCAATATGCTTAATTTGAGCCATATTAAACTTTAAATAATGGATATTTAAATATAATAGTTTTTAAAACTGGTTATGTTATTTTATATAAATAATTAGTAAAATATAAAGTAGTACTTCAAATTTTATGTATAAAAAATTTAATACTATAAATATAATTTTGATAACTATTATATTTTAAAAGATTATAAAAATATATAAAAGTTATTGCCTAATAATCAACACAATAATTACTTCTACAATAGGGCATAATGAGTTATTTTATTTAATTTTCTGTATTCATTATTTTTTTGTTTAAAAAAATACATATTTACTTGCTTAATTGTCTTCATTATGTTTAAAACCCCATAAAAATCAAAAAAATGTTTTATAACAAAAAAAAATTTTATAAATAAAATGGGTAAAATTTATTAGCAACCATATAAATAAGTACAAAAACATGGAGAGAACTTGCTCAGTTTTTACTAAAGAAATGATGGTCAATGGTGTAATGAAACATTGACAGAAAAAACATTGCTTTTTTAAGGGTGAAGAACAGTGTTTAAAAAAAAAAGTACAAATAAAAAATTAACTTTTAAAACCACAATTTTTAAAATTGTTTTCGGGCAGGCGTGTTTTCAAAACACGCACACCCAAAAACGAGTTTCTGGGATTTTTTATGCGCTAACAGTAAATTACAAATGAAGACATCTGATATATATATATAAAATATATACACAAATAAAATATGAGATAAAATATGTAATGGCTGACAGAGGCACTAGAGTTATTGAGGCTGCTCTTATTTTTTAATTGTTATAACAATCATCTCTCAATCTTTTAACTTCTAAATATAAATCTTGACAAACAAGGGAGCTTCATGAAAAAACAAGTTGAACATGATACTAACAGGGACATAGTGAGAATCAAACTCGAAAATCTTGCTTACAAAGAGAGACCACAACACTACTGCTTTTTTTATTAGATAACTCTGTCTCTCAAAACTAGCCTGCTTATTTAATTTGAGACACTCTGTAAATTTTGGGTCATAATACCAAAAACACTTTCCATCAAAACCTTATGAACGGTAGAAAGTACATGTTAAGCCAATATCAAAATGCCTAATTTTAAAATCTAGAATTAAAATCTTGTAGAGGTATTCACTTTTTAAAAACCACATTATAAATACTATTCCTATGAAAACATTTTTTTTAAATAACTATTTTATATAAAAAAATTCTCTAATTACAAAAATTTATTTCAAACAAAATAAGAACAGATTCAAAAATGTCATTCTTTAAACATAAAATAAAATTTTAATATTCTAAACTTCATATAAGCCAATTCAAAAGAATTTTTAATTAAATATTAATTTACAAACATTCTGTGACAACAATTTTAAACTTTGCTGCTGTAATTCAAAATAAAGTTCAAAAGTTGATAGTCTGAGTGAGAGCTATCACTCTCCCAATCGGTTTTGAAATAATTGTGCATTGTCTCAGTTGCCTGTTCACTGAAGAGCCTAAGTGCCATATGGTTCTGTTTGATGAATTGGAAAAAGCACATGGAAAAAGATTGCAAGAGCTTTTGGTGTAGCTGAATTTTGCAACTTCAGGTAACTTGTCTTGAATTTTTCGATTTTCAACTCATATTCCAGATCCAAGACACAGCCAAAGCAAGCAGAAACAACATCTTAGAACAATACCAAACAGTTGCAAAAACCCAATACTTGTTTTGCATTCTAAGACTCAGCTAAATTTTTCAATCGATCTACTTTCCTCAACAGCTTCATTGCCATTGTAGTGCCCACTATGGTAAGGCAAAAGAAGAAAATAAAGCAAGCCAATCAACTGTCTTTGGCCACATCTGAGCAAGATTTTTTACAATATGATTGACAAGACCAATGAGCAAATGCAATTTCTTTGGTGGAATCACTTTCAAAAAACTTGTTTGGTTTTCAAAAGGAAAGAGTGGAGGATGCACAGCATTTTGGAATGATTTGGCACTCTTTGTCTTTCCTCCGCTGCTAAGAAAGTCCTGAAAACGTTTTCTGCTTTTTCTAAAGGTTCTCATCTCACCATACTCATAGAGTTGACTCAACTTCTCACCAACAACATAGGTGCTTGATGGCGTGTTAACAAGTTGTAAATGGAATAGATTCAAAGTTGAAAGGTTTTGGCAAACTTTGCGCTGATTCCTTGTGACCTGATTGATTTATCTTGAAATGACAATCCATGTAAATTCCTATAATAACTCTGTCATTGTCAAAGTTGATATTTCTTGAAAAA